TTAAATCCTATGGAGAATGTCAATGTGTTTTTAGTAGGCATTCAACCAAAGGGAGTTCAGGCTGCTAGTTCTAACCAGCCTTCTGTGGTCTTAGTCCCAGTATTAGTTCTGTTTTCAAAATCCTTGAAGCACTCTTTGGATTGGTCCCGCGTGTGCACTACCCAGTAGCCAGACTATGCTGTAGGCTCAGATCCATGCACATGCACCTCAGGGGTGGGTCCCTGGGAATTCATCCATTTGAAAGGTTACTTTCCCAAAGACCTCCCTCTCCACGACCTCCCTGGAACTTTCCAGCCTCGCCTTTTCCGTCCTCTGCACAGAAAGCTGGTGCTCAGCAGTTCACTTGCTGTGACTGTGCTCACCTCCAGGACCAAGCAGTGGGAGGACAGATGGAAATAAAAAGCAAAAGGGGTTTCCCTACCCTCTGGGGACAGTAGCTTCTCCAGTGGGGCTGGGTGGTGTCCTTCTCGCAGAGTTTAGGCGCCTGCCAGGGCTTCCCGTCCCAGCAGTTGCTACTCTTGTTGCAGGATTGCTTGGGTTTGAGGCAGACACAAGAAAAACAGAGAAAAAGAAAGAATAGGGAATTTCTCCTGCTCTCCTTGAGCATCCCAACTCCTTGAGCAGACGGCTTCTCCTGAGGATCTCTCTGCCAACCCTGATGCCCACTCGTGGTTTCCGGTTTCACTGAGTTCAGGCCAGCCAGGGCACACTGGAGGGAAAAGATGGCAAAGTAAGGCCATTTCAGTGGTACTTTGAGCCTTGTTCTTCCTCCTCAATGCTTCTGTTAACATTTGCTTTTCAGAGCCCTGAAATAGCTGATCTAGGCGTTTTATCCAGGAGTGATAGCCACCTCCTTCACCTGATCTTTGTTTTTAAGATTGGCACCTGAGCTAACACCTGTTGCCAATCTTCTTTTCTTTTTCTCTCTCTGCTCTTTCTCCCCAAATCCCCCCAGTACATAGCTGCATATTTTAGTTGTGGGTCCTTCTAGTTGTGGCATGTGGGATGCCGCCTCAGCATGGCCTGATGAACATTGCCATGTCCGCATCCAGGATCTGAACCCGAGAAACCCCAGGCCACCGAAGCAGAGCGCATGAACTTAACCACTTGGCCACGGGGCTGGCCCCGCCTTCGCCTAATCTTAAGGCTAGCTCTGACTTTGGCATTTAACAAAGGGCTCCATCCACCCACCCCCACTCCCCATTCACTCACCCTTTTATTCTATTAATGTATGTACCACAGGTGACAAGGGCTAGAGAAACAGCCTGTCTTGAAGGAGTTTAGAACACAATTGGCATATGAGACACAGCTTCCTGGGTTTCCCCCATATATGAATTGTCTTTCCCCCTCTCTGTTTAGGCTCACAGTACATCTAGGAAAAGTGAGTGGGCTTTGTTGCTTCCTTGAAAAGTCATGTCTGCTTGTGAGCCTGAAACATCCTCACATATGAGCTCAGTGGGTGAGGCTGAGGTCTTTAGAAAGAGTCATCTTTTCAAACGCACAGGTTTGTGGTTTTTGAGAGAACAGAAAGCATAAAGCATAACATCTTGCGGGATTACTTTCTGCTGAAGACCAATTGATGCGACATCTGAAAATCATCAAATAAGTGTCTTGTTTTTAGCCTGCAAATGACTTTGTGAAACTTTGGAAGGAAATTCTTCACTTAAGAAAAAAGTAGGAAAATTGAAATTGAGATCATGGGCAAGAACAAAGATGGGGAATTATGAGAGTGCTTTGAATTGTTAATAGCATTTATATTTGCAAAAATGAATCTCTCTGAAAACCTGGAAGTGGTCTAATAATTTTAAATCACCTCACACGGCACATGCCCAAAATCCTGATAACCTCCACATTCAATTGCTTATGACCAGTTTTTTGGAGCACTCCAAAAACTTGAAGTTGCTACACAATGCACAGAACTCTGGATTTAAAATTATGGAAGTCTCTGATGTTTTTTTCCTATAAGCTCTTACATTTGGAAAGAAGTACAGTCTAACCCCAGAGGATCAAAATATATTGAACTGATTTTTTTTAAGAAACGGTATCAGCCAAGAAAACAGGAATTGAGCTGAACATTATGATGAAGAGAGTGAAGAATGGGAAAGATAAGGCTGAAGGTGGTGTGTATACAAGACTCAAAGTTGGAGGAGAGGCTGCACCTGGAGATGAGAAAGTCTGCTGGCCAAGGTAAGACAAATTAAGGCAGGTTGGTAAGGGTAATCTGAGGCAAATGAAACTAAAGGTCATCAGAAACCTGGGCTCTGATAAGGGGAGACTGGAGTAAAGAGAAAGTTCCCTCTAGCTTCAGTGGTTAAGGGGTGACGTAGAGTTCCCACAGCATTTCATTAATATACAAGTCAAGTGTTGCAAATACCCCATGTGGATGACAGACAGTTGTACTTTGTGAATTTCTCGTTTCTAATGATGCATTTGAGCTTTATTTTTTACAGCTGTCCTTGTCTTAATCCTTTACTTTTTTCTCCCCGGGGTTTAATGGATTCTAGTTACAGATCAGCATTTTAAGCAGCATGTCACCCATCAGGCAGCACATGGCTTCTGATGGTTACGGCATTTGGGTCACCACCAGTTCTCTGGAAGGACAAGCGCTCCTGTGAACAGCACAGTGAAATCTCTCCTACAATTGGAACATGGCAGCGCAGGTTCAGGGCACACACTAGGAATCTAACCAAATGCCTTTTGCAAACAGCAGCTCAATGAGGATTCCTGCCACGAGGCAAAATGCTTGGAAAGTTACTATGTGCTGGCATCACTGGGTTTGGGGTCAGCAGGCTGAAACCGGGACTCATTATGTTCCTACCATGCCAACTCGGTGCAATTAGCCTAACACAATAATTTCCTGAGGCCATATGTTGATCTTTAGGGGAGGGAAGCCTTCGTATGCTTGATGGCTCTGAGATCTGACTGGCATGTCCCAGCTTCGAGCAAATTTCTGTAAATCAAGATAACACACACGGCAATCAAAGATGAAGTAGGACAGCCAGCCTGGACAGAAGCAGAAAACGGAGAGCAGGGCTGTGTACTTGTTGACTGTTGTAGCGAGTTGGTTTTCTTTCTTTTTTCCAAAGAAATTTTCGGAGAAAGGTCAAGGGAGCACTACTGTGTGCAAGGCTATCCCTCTCTCTCCCCAAAATAAAATCAATGGAAGGACCTAGAATACAATAAGTTATGGTCCAGGGCTGTGTGGCCTGTATTCCCATTGGAGACCTATCAATGTGAACTAGCACTGTTGGGAAATCTCTCCAGCTAGCCCTGTTAATCGATACCTCTGTTCATTACACGACTCTGATGAATATGGATAATGATTGGGTGCCCGAGAGTCAGGTGACCAAAAATAACTGTGCCTTACTGAGGATCAATAGATTTCCCCCCAATCCAATATTCACAGCCACCCCTCCAAGCCCCCACCAATGTGAGCCTCTCTGGTCTTCATTGATAGATCAGCTTGGTCCCCAGATCAGCTTTATCAAATTAGTAGCACTTAATCTACTGTCACATCGTCAACAGACATGGGGCAAACTAGCAGACGTCAAGTCTTCCAGTGGCTCAGGAGAGCAACTGGCTGCAACCCGGGCAGTTTTGATTAGCTTTGTGCCAAGAGCTATCTTCATGGGTGCCTCTTTGCTAAACAGGAGAATTTCCACCATTTAATAGCATTTAAAACCTTTTTTTTTTTTTTAAGAAAAAGGAGGTGTTTGAGGGAGAATTCTTGCCAATTACAGATGTGTTATGACAGATGAAAAGATCATAATTATGCCTGGATTCCCTGCAGGAGTGCGTTACCACATCCGTGACATTTCATAATCACATGCCTCAGTGGAGGTTGACTTCCCCAAAGTTGCTTAACCTTTCATGTCTTTGCCCTCACTCTGAAACCCATCCATGGGTGCTCAAATGAAATCAAGGAGGGAGACTCTGTCAAGGCTCAATGGCCGGCACCTCTGCAGCCTTGGGAGGGACCCTGAGGCAGTAGCATCTAAAGCTGGCAGGACAGCTCCTTGCTGTGGTCCTGATGGCAGCCAGATGGGTATTAGCAGCTCCTCCAGCCCCTTGTTGGCCAGAGGCCTGGGCCATGGGGTTGCTATAGAGCCTGGGAGCTCATTTCCCTGGGTTATCGGCCAGAGGAAATTGGAGAAGTGGGTGGTACCAGCTGGGGAGACCTGGGCAATCTTGCTCTAGAGATGGAGAACAGAAAACACTATTTTGGAAGGGAGCCTCCAGCCAGTTACAGTCTTTCTTAGCCTAATTTTTAGCTAGGATTGTTTTAAGAGGTAGGGATAATATTAAACAATGCTGAGTCAAAAGTGCCTTCTATCTGCTTCTTCCCATTGTCCCTCAAGCAGTATGACAGGAGGAGGAAATGTCACCGATTATGACATCTTCCCATCTGCTAGTTTTATTTCTAGATTATAAGAAGCACAATCTGCAGAAAGCCACTGCCAAGAGAATATAAACTGAAACACAAGCATTTAGTCTGAAAAAAATATATAGTCATCATCCTGTTGGCTGCTGTCCACAAATTTCACAGATGGGGGGCGGGGGGAAGAAAATTTATTTGCAGAAAACTAAGGTGCAAAGATACCTAAGTTCTTCCTTTGGTCTTCCTTTCTTCAAAAAAGCTTGGGCAAAGGCTTTGGGGAAAAGGACTTCCGGAGACATACAGGAAAGGCATCCCTAAAGGTACAGCTTTGGTGAGGAAGGACTCAGGGCAGTGTTTGCTGGGCTCCATTGGGACTGGCTAGGATCTTTGTAGCTCTGACTCAGCTTTGCCATCTGAGCAAGAGATGAGATTGATCTTCCAAAGAAGTGTTTTGAATAATACCAGGACGCAGTCCAAAGAGGAGATTGACTCTGAGATATCCAACATGTGTGCTTAAATAGGGTGACTTATTATGTGAGCTGAAGCGTTGCCAGGTGTATTCTGGAAAGGTCTATTAGAGTTTGTTGAGGTTTCTTCAAATCAAGAAGGGAAGAAGAGATCAGTGACTGATAAATCTTTAATATAAAAATTGTACAAGAATTTTGATACAAATTACAAGAGGTATTTGGACAAAATATGAATAAAATTCCATTTACATCCCCAAACCCTTATGCATTTTATGCAAAAGACATACTGTAGACAGTTATAGTACAGAAAATACAACAAAGGAGATAGCAAATAAAAACTTTTAATTCCCGTAGACTACTAATAAAAACAAACCAAAAAGCAACACAAAACAAAACAAAAACAAAACCGTTGTTCAACATACAGTATTTATGAAGCTACCGACGTCACGATGGTTAGATCAGGGAGATGCGAGCTGTCCCGGTCCCTTGGTGCAGCTACCTTTTGTAGTACAGATTTGGTTCTGCGACAGGCTCAGCAGAAGAGACTGGTTTGATGCGGAAGAGAACATACACCAAAAAAGCATAAACCCCCAAACTCCGGGGGAGGGAGAGAGTGTATCTTGGTGAAAATTCCTTTTCCTCAAGATATTTCAATTCCCCTTGGCCACTTTTGCTGTCAAATATGCAGGTTGAGTCAAATGTTTTTGTGATCAGACACATCAGTGGGTTTGGGGTGAATAAGAAAGTTACGTGTTCTCCCAGGTACGGGAGGGATCTTGCTAGTTCTCAGAGGACTGCTCCATGATCAGTAGGAGAGAAGAGAGAGCTTTCTTTCCCAGAGCCCCAACTCGCCTCCACCTTTGAGGAAAGGCCTAAGTGACCTCTCACCAAAGTCTAGTTTGTCAACCTTCCTCGCCCCTCAGACCTCCATGTACCCACCTTTAGCTCTCCTGCACTTTTCATCCTGGCACTGGAAAGAAAACGGTAAGATTTCTCTGCAAGGCAGCTGAACCAAAGTTTGCACAGGAAAACAAGTGCACCATATATTGTAAGTCTTAGATAGTCCTGTCAGATTAATACAGAATGCTAGAACATCTCATTCACTTAGTTCACGTTAAGTAAACGCTGGACAGGGTAGAGCACACAAATGTTTCCAAAGCGACCAAAACCAGGATGAAAGAGGGAGTGTTCCGCCTTCTTGCTTCATAGAAGACTTTTTTTTTAAGGGGGTGGGTGAGATCAGAAAAAAGAGCAAGGGTGGGAGTGAAAGATAATGGAAAAGTGAGGGGAGATTAAGATAGGCAATGAGAGGAATGGATTACTCTGTACAAAGACATGCAAAAACGCTCCAAATTGAGTACCAGATGAAAAAAAAATAAACAGTCAACCTTGGTTTATACATCTCAAGTGAACCTATTAACTCAGCACATTGTCTGGGAGTTCAAGAGCATCATACCTCATGAATCAATGCTTCTCACAGCTACGGCACCGAGCCGCAGGCGGGGCGGGCGATGCTGGGTCTCCCAACATGGGAGGGGCCGGAAGCCAGGCTCCCACTGAAACGTGCCAGGTCAGTTCACCTTGCAGGGGCACAGCCCAGGGGGCTGGGCTTTTCTCCCCCTCTTTTGGAAAACATTCCCAGGGCCAGGTGAGTGGAGCTCCCACACACACCCAGGGTCTCCCCAGAGTCACCTCTCAATTCTCGCATTCCATAAGAGAAGTGGGCAGAGCCAGTTACTAACGGATTGATTTGCCATCTTCGTTGTGCATTATTTCAACATCACATTTGGCAACAGGAAGCCTTATAAAGTCTTGGTATAGCACTTAGATACTCTCTCTTCAAGAAATATACTTTTACACTATCTACTTCTCTCCGTTTTTGTTAAAATACCTTTCTCTGTTCTTCCTTCCCTTCAAAGATTCTTAAAAAAAAAATGAAGCTAAAAAAATGTTAAAAAATTAGAAATGTTCTTAAGCATCCCTATTATTTAAAGGAGAAAAAAAATCTAATATTAGTTATAGAATCTGTGCAATTTTGGCAACCGAGTTTTTAATTAATTAAAGATTCTATGAAGATGTTGGATAAGCAATTGTAATATATACATACTGGGGGAACTTAAAAAAAAAATCAAGTCAACTGCTTTTTCTCCGACCCTAAGAATCTTTGCTCAAAGTGCTTTTCTTGCCAGTCCTTGGACTGGCTAATGAAATTATTTAGCACACGTTTGTCAACATAGACCTGTTAAGTTCTCTGTAAATCTGGTTCTTCTTTCTCTTTTCAAAGGTTCACATCAAAGATGACACCTACATGTGTCTTATTTGATTGACAAATATATTGGAAACGTGACTGTTTGTAGTGGGGTCAACGACTTCTCTCAAACCTGCAGCCGAGGGTGGGAAGGACATGTGGAGTCCCCTAGTTCCCTAAGACAAACAAGTAGATGCTGCACTTCATTTAGTCTAACCAGCCGCTTTTCAACTGTCATTTAAGCAGCTCAGCATATAAAAATAGCAGCCAATACCTACGCGTTATTCGGGCTCAAGGTATTTCGGAGTGTAACGCTTTCCCACGTTCTTCCTTTGTACCTCTGTCTCCTGGTCACTTGATTTCGTAAAGCTCACTGTACTTGTACTTAACAAAATTCTCCCAAAGTGGAGAATTTAACTTTTACGTATAGGGTAGTCCCACTTTTGGTGATTAAAGTGAAAATCCCTGTGCCTTTTTTATTTCAGATTGGCAGTCCAGTTTAACAAAATAAAGATTAATCTGTCATGTTACACTATGGATTCAGAGGTTGTCACTGCGAGAGACTTGTGTACATTCAGACCAATGGTTGGATGTCAAAGCTAAAAGACAACTTTTTTTTACCACCATGCACCACCAGTTTACAACATGTGCACTTTTTGAAGGGGAAAAAAAATGTGTTAATGCTTTGCTTACAGAAGATAAGGCAATCTAATCCTGTTTTTGCCACTGCCTTATGGGACATTTTGCTCTAATGATGGGGCCACACCCAGTGCTCCCAAAACGGACGGGCGTGGAATTGCAATACTTCAGTTTCCAAAGACGCAAAGAACGCTGTCACAGCCAGCATCTCTCCACTGACCCTTTATTTAAGAAGTCATCTTGTTACTGTCCACTTAATAGCTGGAGAGGGCACCTGGAGGCAGCCTTGGGGCTTGCCAAAGACACAATTTAGTAGGTGTGTGTATGTGCTTGTGTGTTGGGAGGGGAGGAAGAGAAGGAAGGGGAAGACGAGAGAGAGAGACAGAGAGAGAGAGAGAGAGGTAGAGACACAGATGGTGAACGTGTCTGTGCATCAGGGAACGGAGTGGGAAAGCCGGGCCCTTGTACTCAATTTCCCCTTCACAAGGGATAAACAGGCAATTACGCATCCTTTTATATTTGATGGCCAAGTGCTGAACTGGAAAGCACACTATTAGTTTGTGTCCCTTCAGGGCCAGGGCAATAAGTAGCCAGGAGAGCTGGGGCTGAAGCAGAGAGGGTGTTGTCTGCTGTTATGTGACAGTCTTGTCAGCAGCGTTCACATTACTGGAAGGTAATAAAGTGACAAGTAAGTTATTAGAAAGATATGAGGTGAAATTGAACTGAAGCTTCTCACTACTCAGCCCCGGCTTTTTCCTTTCCTCTTTTGTAACGGTCCACTATTTGTTACAAACTGAGCCTTGTCTTGATATTCTATATAAAAAAGATTTTTGTTTTCCAGTAAAGGTCAAATGAATTTACAACAACACTTTAGAGGAGAAGAATAAAGATAGTTTTAAGACGACTATAGTATGTTGCTTCAAAGATATATATAGCATTATAATGAACAATAATGCTGATCCAATTCAGGATACTTGTAAAAATGCTTAGTTTTTTTTTTTAACCCTGTTATTAGGCATTTGGATTTTTCAACAAATGCCAAAAAGACAGTCTTTGATGTCCAGTTATTTCCGAATGGCCATAAACATCACTTTGTGCAAGATGTGGGAAGAATGAGGACAATGGAAGGTCACAAGGAAGGATGGATGTTTGGGTAAGGGTGATGATAGATTAATTCAATTTTACAGCTGAATTTACGTGATAGTCATTGAAAATTACCATTTACCATGAACAACTCCCCAACTATAGGAAATAAGGAAATGAAGCTGGGACAGATTAGACGTGGCCTTAATATTAACATGACCAAGACTGCCATACATGGTTTAGCTTTGAGGGGAAAAAGGAAACAGAAAAGTTACTTTTATGCTTCATAGGAAGGTGACTGAGCTGACATTTTAATCAAGGGACTTTTAGCCAGGTAGCATTACAATCCCAGCTATGAGGGTGAACAAGAGTAATGATGGAGAAAGGACCATCTATGCTGGCTGCCACTCACTCCTACGCCACTCATCACAGTTAGAGCCTGGCTTGACCACAGACTTTGTCAATAACCTAGATGACCCACTGTATCTTTTCGCTCCCTAAGGGACTCCAGCATCACTTCCCACTCCAAAAAAAAAAGAAAAAACCCCCAACTGCCGTGTTGGCTCTCCTGACTCTAGGGAACCTCAGCTATTCCATGCAGCTGTCCTTGCCTCGCTCCTCCGACCGGGTCCTATGACGCGCTTGGACACGGGAGCTCTCCCCTCTGCTAGACTGAGTTGTACCAGACTTTTCTCTTGAACAAACACTTCCAGTGCATCCACTATTTTCTTTTCTAGCTACCCCCAAACCAGGGCAGATACCATTCCTCTACTTAGGAACCCTTACTCACTTTAAAAAAATGGTGACTCCCTCCAGTGCTTAGGCACCTGCTTATTGCCCTCCTTACTCATTTAGAGCCTCCCAGGAAAAAAACAAAGAATGAGAGGGAAAACCAAAATCGTCTAGGTTAAATATTCCACATTTGGGGGAATGTAAGTGATTTTTTTAAAAAAAGGAAATGTCATAACTTGAAAAACAAGTTCTTAAGAAAAGGAGTGTGTCCATAGGATGAAAGTAAGTTTCTTCCGGATGATTTGTTTCCTTAAGATAGCAGATGTAGTATGTCTTATGACAGCTGAATTTTATTTACTCTGCTTGTCAGTCTAACCCAACACTAACAGACCAAGCACAAGTCAGAACTGCTCAGGTCAACTGTTAGCAGTTGGCAGCACGTCCATCTCAATCTGGTTACTGGCATCTTTAATTGCCAAGGGCCCCCATTCTCGTTTGCTTGGCACACATCGAGGTGTATACTGAGGAAGGGGACCAGGTCACGTTTTATTTAGCGGGAACCTAGAGCATCGTTTCCCCGAGTAAAATGAGGACAACGCCTCTGGAACAGCCCATTCTTGATCTATTCAAAGCTTTTATTTTCATGTATACACTAATCGACGCTGTTAACCAGCTATGTGCCTTTCTCCTTTTACTGGAAGGGCCTGAAAATTCATGACCAAAAGAATCATACTACAAGGACAGTGGAACTATTGTGCTGAAAACTTTTTTAAAAAAAGATATCAGGTTGAGGAGGAAAACATTTAAACACCTTTAAAAGGCATTAGGCTGAACTGCATGGCCGGACTAAGATCTGAAATGCGTATAGGTTAGGTTGACTTATTTCAATAGAATTAATAGCAGAACAAAGAATGTCAAGCTTTTTATCACATTTTCAAAACCAAATTGCTTATTATCTATCCTTTCTCTTGCTCTTTTTCGTCCCCCTCCACAGCATGCAGATATTCCTTAAAGTGGACTAAGCTTTTCTGATATTTACAAAAACACCGTTTAAAATGATCAAAACAGTACATTTCAACACCAGCTAGTGAACACGCACATTAATAATATTGCCTAATTTTGTACCTGTGACAAAACTCTGGTTAAAATCTATCAAATGGGAAAAAGCTGCCTGGATAAAAATCTGCATCACAATTAATTTTTGGCCAGCATAGAGTGGATGCAACTAGAGAAACTTTTTCACAATCAATAGGAGACACCCATGAAAAACTAAATGATAGGAATGGGCAAAGTGAAGGGCTCAATGACTAAAAAGCAGATCTCTTTATTCTGCCCATTTGCAAGGAAGCCTTGCCATCACCATCCTAACTAGACTCAGAGTTAAGTCAAAGCCTGCACTCAGGCACAGACCCAAGACCAAGCACCACTTTGGGACTAGAAGCATTGTACATTCATGATTTTACACTTTATGTACCACTTCCATTCATTCCCCCTGCCCTTTTAAGCAAATAGGCTTTATATTGGAAAATGTCCTTCACCCATTTGGAAGGCCACCATAACAACTGGGCACTTGAGGCAGAGAAGTGGTAGCAAAGAGGGGAGATACTTAAAAAGGCAAGCTGTCCAGGACTCACTGCTGTTTCTCTGACAAAATGCAGGTGAACACATTCGTGTTTCCGAGCCAGGGAAATTCTCCTTCGAGAATCTCATTACTTCACCTCTGGACTTGTTCTAACTGGCTCTCCACATTAGCCTGGTTTGTGGCAAGTCACAAACATTTGCTCTAAGCCTGTTCATTTGCTGGTGTGACCTGCTGACAGCTATGTAATTCACTCACTAGGGCTCTTTGACCTTTTAGTTGACATTAAATTAAACAGACTAAACATTGATTTTGTACAGGATGAGTTCTAATATCTCAACTAAGAGTGTAACTTTTACAAACGGCTGAAATACAAACGTGTTATTTTTATAAAACTAGGTATAATTCAGTCTACACACACTCTGAAAGCTAGTATTTCCATCATCTTTTGCCGGGATACTAAAAGTATTTTTTCCACCCTTTTTGAATCGAATCATCTTGTTATAGGGCAGCAGCGCAACACAGAGAAGGCTAAGAGGACCAAAGTGTTTGCAAACAAACTTTCATTATTCTAGTTCCATCTTTCACAAACATACTGTACAGAGTCTTATATGGTATAAAACAAAGGAAAACATCTCTGTCTATTCAATTTAACACAACACCAAAATAAAGCAATTAAGACTTTGGGGAATTCAAAAGTACAAGAAAACAAAAATGGTTATCACTAATTCCTCAGCTTTTTTACCGTAAACATTTGTCATTTAACAGACATAGTGTTTGCTATGTTTTCTTTTGTACTGCAAATACTTTTGGTCTTTCCTCACTGTAAAACAAATGAGGACTCAAATGCACCTCAGAGCATCCTCTGAAGGAGATGAAAAGATAAAGCTCCTAGACGTGTCTAGCTTATCTTTAGGAATCTATTGTTTCGGGAATTTTCACAAATAAAAATACTGAATCCTCAACTAATGATGCTTATTTTTGGAAACAATAAATACTGTGAGGTACAATAAATCCTACAGAAATAATAATAACAACAGAAACACATTAACAGTTTCCTTTGGCAAATTTAACGGAAGTGAATGCTGATGTGAACATAGAAAAAAAAATTACAAAACATATGAAAAATGGAAATGACGTGAAAGGTTAAAACAAAGGGAGTATTTCTAACTTTTAGATCGATGTGAGAAATGTTTGAGGCCATTAAATGCAGAAAAGAAATACATTCTTTTTAAGTTATTGTGTACTGTTTGACAAAATATTCCTGGTTTCTCTCCCCCTCCCCCACCCCCCACCTAAAAAAAAAAGAAAAAAAAGACAACACAACAGGTCTGCAATGCACACACTAATGGTCTTGGCTGCAGACTGAACTTGAGTGAATACCATCATTCAGTCAGCACGCTGTGGTAGCTGAGGCTGCCGATGTGGTTAACCAGCGCAGGCAACATGTGTAAACATCGGAAACAAAACAAAACAAAACAAAAAAGGTTTGGAGCATCGTCTCCCCCTCTTTCTCACTCTCAATTGCTTGGTTTCAGGCTCGCTTTCATTTCTCTCTGACAAATCGTGTGGGAAACACAAGACGCTGAGCAGCGAGAGACCCTACTTTAAAACCCCTTCTTCTCGCTGTGCAGAAAGGAGTGTTGCTCAATTCAGGTTCAGCACGTGTGTTCAAAGCTGCCAAGTCCGGCTGCAGTGACACGCCTTTTGATTTTGTCTGTCACACGGGCCTGACTCGTAGTACCACTGCAGAACTTGCAACAAATTAGACAGCCATACAACAGACCAACCCAGCGCAGGCTTTTCCTTTCTTTTTAAAGGATAAGGGTTAGGTCCTTGGAAACGAGTGTTCAACTCTTTTACTGTATTCAGCTTTGTTCCATAGTGAGTAATTTGGGCTTTTGTATCCTGAAATATTATCCTGCCTCTAAAGAATAAATGCCTTGGCTGTTTCACACCACATAATTTTGTTTTCCTTTTATGTAACTTAGCATATAAGCAAGAAGGATGCAATGTTGATTCTAATAACATTCGGCACTTGAAAGAATCACCAAGTATTTTTTTTTGTTAAAGCGGTTTTCTGGTGGCCAACAAATTGGCCTGTGGTTATGTTGAGTGACTAATTGTATTTTCTTTTCTGGAAACTTGTGCAAAGTTGGCAGTTTTGTGTTAACACTAATACTTTTGTTTGGCATTTGTGCCCCATACTGACCAGACCGTTTTTATACAAGTGAATTTTTTTTAAAAAGACACTTACTTGAAGTATGGCAACAGTTTAAGGATAAAAAAGAAGCGTGGATATTACACATCCCCTTGTAGTGTATGAAAAAAAGTGCATGACTGGATTTATGTACTAGTACAGGACATTTTAAAAAATCAGATCTGTGCTGTAAAGCATGCCAGCACCGCTTTATCACTATATCTAGCAGGTAGTAAAAACAAGACCATGTTTTAAAAAAAAAAATGCGCATTAATGCTAACATAAATGAATAGAGCTAGCCAGCAAACTATTTTTTTCCTGCATATCTAACAGCTGGATGTAACTGTAAAAATTAAACAAAGAGTTAAACAACCATCAGTACAATTGCTTTACATCATTGACCCCTCAAGGCGAAATATTTACAGATGAGTCTGCCATGCTTTAACTGAAGATTCTCTCAAAACCTTAAAGTTCACAGAAGACAACTATAACAAGTTCCTTTTTTGTTTCTTTTTTCTTTTTTTTTCCCTTTTATTTTTTTGCAGGCAACAGTCGTGGGTACAACAAATTGTCTCTTTGGAGAGGACCAAGAATTATTATCCTGTCAAAATTTGGGCTACTTGCACATTTTATGTGTGTGTGTACGTGTGTTTAAAGGATACTTTGTTTTCGCCCCCAAATTAAAGATCCCACCCTTTAACCAAAACTATAAAGGAAAAAGAAAGAAAATTTCAAAAGCACCTAGTGTTTATATCTAAAGAAAATGTATGTGTGTGTATATATATGTAGACACAGAGGCATACACGTGTATACACACACACACATGCACACCCTCCCCCCCCAAGTACACAAGCACACACTGACTATGGCAGTTCAAAGATGTTGGCCATGTGGTGAGGGCTGGCATTTGTAGTGTCCGCTCTGAGACTAATCTACTGAAGTGAAGGGAATGTTTTTGTGGAGATTAGGGTTCTGACTGTGCCGATTTCGGCTTCGCACAGAGGAAAACATCATATTGCAACCGGGGACTTTGCACTTGTGCATTTCTCGCAAATGCACAGTTTTGTAGTGCACTCTCAGCGTCCCCTTGTTGCTGTACATTTTGTGGCAAATGTTGCACATGATCCCACCATTGCTCCCGGACAAGCTGTTGAACATCAGAGATCCTGAAACTTCAGCCCCTAAGCTGCCAGGGAGGGCAGGGGCCTCAGCCTTGTGTGCCGACTCCCCACTGTCACTCGCCCCATCAATGTCATCGAGAAGAATCCCCTCGTCGCTGCCTGCGTCGGATTCTCTGGAGGAATGGATGCTGCTGCTGGACTGGAGGCTGGAGGTGGTGCTCAGGTCAAGGACCATGTAGTCCTCTGCCATGCCCCTCCCATACCCGTTCAGGTGGGAGTCTTCAGTCCCTGCGGGAGAGGAGGCGTCTTCCCGGACATCGAGCCCCAAGGGGTGCTGGGCACCATAGATCTTCATCAAAAATTCATCCCGGAGGTCCTTGCTAAGGGAGGGCTGCGATGAGTCCAGGCCCATGTCATCGAGTTCTTTGGTCAACAGTTTACGATGCAGATTTATGTTGGCACTGTGTCTAGGAAAACAAGAGGGAAGGGGGGGAGGTGTGAGGGAGTGGGGAGGGGTGAGAAAAAGGAGAGCATTTTAAAATTGATTCGGCTTTCACTAGGCATCAAATAAGCACATTCACTGCTAATTACACCATTATAAAAGCAAACATTCCCCTCCATCCTCCGGATTTGGGAAAAAGTAGTGGGGAGTGCAGGAAGGGGAGCTTTTCATTAAGGTAATTTTTAGAAGAGAGTAAAATTCTTCAATGGCAGGATGGATGCAAACCCATGACCCTTTTCTCAATGACTGTTCTGTTAGTTCTACTATATAGCAGCATCAGCTGCAGAGAATCTCATAGCAGAGATTTCAGAATATTGATTAAATAGGATAAAAGAATGGAAACTGCTTGTCTAAACTGAATAATTTGAATTTACCTAAAAACAAAATCAAAACCCCCCTTTTTTCCTACAACACACACTTTGAGGTGTAAAAAGGATCCATTTTTTTTTAAGTAAATGGTCTCAATAATTTAGATTTAACTTCAAAAAATAATGAAATGTCCCCCCTCACCTTCCTACACTTAAGTTTTCAGTAGAAAAAAAAATTATCTTAGTAGATTAGCAATTTGAAATAGCGTTACAGACTATCTTTAACACAAATCCCTTTTCTCAGACTGATTTGGGATCTCAGCTAAATCTAATAGTAAAATACACTTATTTTCAGAAGCTGCTGCATTTTAGAGTTGAAAATGTTTTCATCAAGTAATTCAACTTTCCAAATTTAATTCTTTAAAACAAAAGCTGAAAAACAGAAATTGGCTTTTTAAATAAAAACCTACCCACCCTTAAAAAAAATCACACTAAACAACAAAAAGCTCAAAGGGACAAAAAAAAACACCCCATCCCAAAACAAAACAAAACAAAAAAACCACACAATAAATACAAAAAAAATCAAGCACAATAATAACATACGGTCCCTCTATTTTAACAACTACAATCCGTACTTCTTAGACAAGCAAAACTTTTACTCTACTCACTGAGTGCTTTGCTTGTATAAAAAAAGACAGGATTTGTCCCAGAGCATCCATAGGGATGTCATGATTTACAAAGCCTGATAGGTTGTTATCTCTCTGAAAACATTGCCTTTGTATTTACATCCCCCATTTACTTTTAAAGTGCCCTTGGGCATATACCTCTCTCCACCTGCAAAGGCTCACAGGTTTGACAAGCACCTAAATTGAAGGCTACCCTTCCAAAAAATAAACCAATACAGAAATATACAGATACATAACAGCTTCTTGATAATGGCAGAAGCTCTACATCTTGGAGAAGTAATTGTGATAACAGAAATGACCTAGAATGGCCAGTATGAAGTTCAACAGACCTCCTGATCATAATTAAAAAGTATGGAAGACCAAAATGAGTCATTCCATTGGGTGACAGGCATGGCTAATATTTCTTAGAGATGGTTGAGAGGTATGTGCCTCAGAGACAAGAAAGGTGGGAAAGACTTCTCCACCTTTCCACACAAGACAATATATAGCACTCCGGTTGGAAGGGGCAGTGGGGCAGCGGCCCTCTGCACACTGCGCTTAGGAAGGCTGAGCTTACCTTGTGATAATAAGATCAGCTTTCTAATCTTTTGCTAAATCGATCACAAAAGAAAGCAAGAATGAGAGACAGAGAGAGAAAAAGAGAGAGAAAGAGAGAGAGAGAGAAAACAAATTCACATTCTAGACATCTGGTTTTAAAAAAACAAACAATAAAATAGGGATTTAAAATGTTCTGATCACAAAATCATTTTCTGTCATAAGCGATCATCTCATATGCTGTCTTGATGATTTTCAGATCAGCTGCATAATCCAAAAATCATAAATCATATTAAGATAAACCAAATTCACAGCATCATCATCATCCATAAATGAGTTCTACACGGATGCATGCAGTGTGCGGATATGGGAATGATAAACAGAAGTTGTCCCCACGGTCCCTGCTCTAACACAGTCGGCTCCCTATTTCCTTGGTGTCAGATGGCAGATGACTCCAAGTGCAGGTTGCTAAGCAGAGTGCAGGAAATGCCTACTGTGAAGTCTTTACCCTGACATGTGGGTATGACACTACCCGAGTTATTACGAGAATGTGGAAACAGAATGTTACACTATGTACTATTACTCCATTGATAAAGCAGTCTGCCATCCACAAGCAGCTCACAAAATCCTAACCTTCTGTTTACTTTTAACACCCTCCCCCTTTCTTAATTTCACAAGCACACATTTTGCGATAGCTGTAATCTAGAACTCTGTGCTGCTTCTCACACATCTGCAGTTACCACTTCCTAGATTCACTGCTGAGAAAACAGCAGCCAGACACACAGCAGTCACATCGAGACACACTGAATAAGGAAGAATAAATTAACATTGACGAAAGGACACACTGATCACCCAGATGGACACATCTTTCCTAAGATGACTTGTGAAATTACACATCTCCACCGATATGTTACCAGGAAGAGATGTTTCTCTTCATTTCTCACTTACAGCAACAGAAATCTGTAATCTAATTAGATGATGTACCAGCCCTCAATATCTGTCAACCAAACGATGTGCAGAAATGTGAAGGCCAGCTCTGGCACTCTGTTCAACAGTGTCCCTTTTCCGCTGTCAGCAGTACTGTTGGCCTCTGCTAATATAATTACATTGACTTTTATTCAATTAAGTGCCATCCCTTGCTTTAAAAAAAAAGCTACTTTATCAATTGATTCAGGTGTAATGCAATAATAAAGATGAACTCATGGCAGTGCATTAGCTCTGCTGTTCATAAGTTCAGTACATGGCTTCATTCATGGTAGTCGATTTCCATTACGCAACCACAGTTCAAGAGAATTGATTCTTTTATGTTCATTTCTTAATCTATTTCATTTTTGTTTAATAATCCTCCCAAATGCCATATGCAAAACACTTGAAGTGGGGATGGGAAGAATGTGCTGTGGAAAATCTGCTAGTTCATTCTCATGACAGTGGGCTTGGAGATTTTCTAACAAACTCACAGTATTACTGGGGTAGAAAGGGGAAAACCAAGAGAGGGAGGGAAAGAAGAAAGACCGAAATTCTTTAGAGTGCTGATCCTGTCCCTCGAGAGGTTAGCTTCAGCCTTCACAGAATGGATAAAAAGCAGCGCTTGATTTTAACAAAGACCTATTGTTGGACTCTGGAATCAGTCAATCCAAACCATTTACTGTCATAAAATACTGTCCTCGTGAGGAGATACAAAGACCTAGGGTTAACAGCAATTTACAAGTTTATTTGGATCAGCAGAACTAAAGAGGTAAAAAGAAAGGAAGATGGAAGCGACACAGAAAGAACTTGCACCTACTGACTATCAGATGTACAGAGAAAAGGATCCTAAAATGAGAGGAAGACCAGAAAGTGCTGGAAACAGGAGGAGGACCCCTAGTAGAGGAAGCAGTACGCAGCTGTATGGAATAAGTGGAAGAAGGAGTCCATGCAGGAATCAGTTTTGAGTTCTCCAGAGATGGAGATGGTTTTTCTAGAAAACAGACTTAGTGTTGTGAATATTTATCTCCAGAAAAGACGGAAAGATAATCTTTAACAAAAATCTAGACTGTATAGAACTTACTCTTTTTTACAAGAACATAAGCAGTGTGAAGGCTGTTTTTACTTGCTTTGACTAGGTAGGCAATACTGAGATGAGGAGGAAAATTCCTCTTATGGAAAAAAAATGACTGGGATGGAGAGAGATGAGTTCCTAAGAAGAAGGGGAAGGATCTGATCTTAACAGGGGTCTGGTCTTAATGAGGACTACTATACTCATTAAGGGAGCGGGCCAACATTTAGTCCCAAGGTGGTCACTTTCAAGAACACAAACTACTAAATCTTATTCAATCTCAAGTCTCCTGCAGATCAAGTAGAATACTTTGCACATAGGAGATAATTAAAAGTACATTTATTTGCCTTCAATCAATAATATGCATGAGTCTTAAAGAAGCTTTTCCCAAAATACACTATAGAAGGGAAAACAATGATGCCAAGATTGGAAACATGTAAAGGAATATTTAAGAAAGGATAGTGATTAATACAGCAGAGGGTAATTCCGACCCTGTTAATACCCTAGGTGTGGTGCAAGGAAATGCCCCGTCACGGGGGCATAACATGCTCCTATAACCTGGGCTATGAGTGGAATTACAAAGGTTTCCTCTGACCCTCTGCACCCTTTCCTACCCCTTCCATACTGTGAGTTTACCAAAAGCCTCTAAGACTAAGATTGCCCCTAAAAGCAAAAAGAAACGAAGCCTATGTTATATAGGACAGGTCATAAAACCAAACTTATTCTTTGAAATGCTGAGTGTCAGCTAACTGGACTAAAGTCAGCTACCGGTCTTTTTCTGTTTCTTTAACAAAAACTTTACTTATGTCAATTATATCTCAGCTAAAAAACAAAGAAAGAAAATTTTACCATGCAACCACAGCAGACACCAAATTCATCAAACACAGTCAAATAAATCCAAGTGCCCTTTACAGAGACAAAGTCAGTCCTGTCTTGGGCTTCTCTTTTCTCATACCTCCCTTTCCAAACTTGTTCAAATGCCCAGTTTGACTTAGTGCAATGTTTAACCATAAAAATTAAAATTAAAAACATTGAAAAGGAAAAGTGTTTTGAGGTTTGTACTCTGACTATGAGATACAGGGAAGGAACTTTTTTTTTTAAAAAAAGAAAAAGTCTCACGACCAAATTAGAAAATGAGAACGCGGCATCAAAACTGAAGAGTGGATCAAGCTATGGGTTACATGAGTCGTCCAATACCTAACTCTTAATTCTAAATCAGTTTTGAGCCCTTCTAAACTTAGTGAATTGAAACAAAACACTTGATAATTAATTACAATGCCTCAAGTGAAATGGACTTGAGGCTTCATTTTTGATTAGTTTTTGCCTTTATTTTTCTGTTCACTTCTGCCACTCCACAAACACACACACACACACAATCTCTCTCTTTCGTGCTCATCAAATT